GGAGGGTCCTGTTTGTGGAACAGCCAGGAGCCCAATGTCACTGGATTAAGGAATACATGGTGGGGAGTAAAGTACAAGAAGACTGGGAAGGTAGGAAGGGCCAAGGTTATGAAGGACTCTGAATGCCAAGAAAAGGATTTGTATTTGATCCTGGAGGCAATAGTAAGCCACTAAGTTCATTGAGTAAGGGGGATGGGGTGGGGTGACATGATTAGAACTGCTGTTTAGGAAAATCACTGCGGAGACTGAAAGAGGATGGTTTAGAGTGGGGAGAAACTTGAGGCAGACAGACCCACCATCAGGCTATCTCAATAATTCAGGCATGAGGTAATGATGGTCTACCAGTGTGGTGGCAATGTCTGAGAGAAGCCAGATGCTAGGAAATGAAATAGACTAGAGATGCTGGAAGGTGAAACAGACTAGAGATGCTGGAAGGTGAAACAGACTAGAGATGCTTCAGTGGTGAAACAGACCAGAGATGCCACAGAGGTAAAATAGACAGGAGATGCCACAAAGGTAAAATAGACTACAAGATGCTGGGAGGTGAAATATACAAAAGATGCTTCAGAGGTGAAATAAACAAGAGATGATTCAGAGGTGAAATAGACAAGAGATTCTGCGGAGGTGAAATTGATAGGCCTTGGCAACAGTTTGGATATGGAGTGAGGGGTTTGCCAGAGAGGGAGGAATCCAGGAGGACTCTCAGTTTGGGAGCCTGAAGGACTGGGAGGATGGTGTTACCTTCTACTGTAATAGGGGAAGGTGGGAGGGGGGAGGGTTTAGGGGGAAAGATAATGAGTTCTGTTTTGGACATTTTGAGGTTATGATGTCACCAGATATTCAGTTAGAGATAAGTTCTTTGATGTACGCCCACTACTAGGCATAAACCCCAAGGATGTCAAAGACTGGTAGATAGGTGCCACATAGACCAAAGCATTCATAACTAGTCTTTCAAGAGTAGCAATAAAATAAAATAAAAAGAAACCTATTTGGTCCTCATGGATTGGGAACTGGGATAGCTGAACTGTGATAGATATTCATGTAACAGAATATTTTTGTCAGCATTAAGAAACAATGACAATAAGAAATTCAGAGACACTTAGGAAGGCCTACCTGGTACAGAGTAAAGAAAAACAAAATACGGGCTAATTACAAGAGTACAAATGAAAATCACACCAAGAACCCCAAACTCAGAGTAACTGTAGTGGCTAGTTTTGGTCTAGTTAGACAGAAGAATAAACATGATTTCCTCTTCCCAGGAGACGTGAGAGGCACAAAATACTGCATTTGCCATGAGACATGGCCACTAGGTTAGATGGTTATGCTTCACTATTCTTACCCATTAGACTCTGAGCTCCTTGAAGGTAGGGACTGTTTTTGCCTTTCTTTGTATACCCAGCACTTATTACAGTGCCTGGCATACAGCAGGTGCTTAAGAAATGTGGGTTGACTTGACCTCCCCTTTTAAGGGTGGATTCAAGGTAGGGGAGGTGTATATTGGCAAATAACCGGTTCCAAAAATTTAAAAAGTAAACAATAAAACTTTCTGTTTTTTTAAAAAAAGCTCTCTAAAGAAAATTTGTCACACAGGAGTTAAAAAAAAAAAAGAATGATGTGCCTCTAGGTCAGAGGTTCTTAACCTGGGATAAATTTCAGGGTGTTTGTGAACCTGGATAGAAAAAAAATCTTTAATCTCTAACTGAAATTTAGCATTCCTCCAATTATTTAAAATCATTATTCTGAGAAGGGGTCCATAGGCTTCATCTGATTCCCAAAAAGGGGATTCCATGACCCTAAGGAGAATTAAAAACCTCTTCCCTAGACCAAGGATCAGGGTCCTATGCACCAGTTTCAAGAAGGAGCTGATTGGACTCCCTGGCAGCCACTGGAATGACAGCAAGGCCTATGTTGTTGTTCAGTCGTTTCAGACATGTCTGACTCTTAGTGACCCTGTCTGGGCTTTTCTTGGCAAAGATACTGGAGTGGTTTGCCATTTCCTTCTCCAGCTCATTTTACAGAGGAGGAAATTGAGGCAAATGGTGAAGTGATTTGCCCAGGGTCACACAGCTAGTAAGTATCTGAGGCCAGATTTGAACTCAGGGAGATGAGTCTTCCTGACTCCAGGCCTGGCACTCTATTCACTTGGCCACCCAATTGCAAGGCCTGTGGTCCTATCTTTCCGCCCAGAGCCAAAGATGTTAGGACCTTTGCAATAGGTGAGCTTTAAAAAAACAAAACTGTTGTGTGCTTCCAGGTAAGCTGATGGAGTTCTGCTCCTGGGGATGATCAGCAAAAAAGAAAACAGCCCTAACGTTCTCTTTAAGGCAGCCTCATCCTGTGGAAGTCAGGTTTTCTCCAGCTAGACCTGGGCTCCAGGCCAGGAATGAGGGTGAAATGGAATCGGTTCTACAAATGCTGGGAACAGGAGGAAGGACAGAGGTGATCTACAGAACTGAGGGCCTTCACAAGGGCAAATTCAGGAAAGCCATTAACTGTCTGTATTCTCTGACTCTTCCATCCTACTACGGAGCAGCCAGCCCAGAAGGGTCAAAAACAGAAAGCCCCCATGTATACCAAAAAAAAAATTTCTAATGGCACTTTTGGTGGCAACAAAAAAGTAGAAACAAAGGGGGTGCCCATCAATTGGAGAAAGGTGAAATGAACAAATCGTGGTACGTGAAGGAAATGGGATATTACTGTGGAACAGGAAATGTGTAGGAAGAATGGATAGAAACATGGGAAGACTTGTATCAACTGATGCAGAGAGAAGCAAACAGAATAAAATGATATTTTTTATTTTCACTAATCTCTAAGTGAAATTTAGTACTTTCTTAAATTATTTAAAAGCTTTACTCTCAGAAGAGGTTCACAGGCTTCACTTGACTGCCAGAGGAGGAGATAGGGTGGGGCTCTCCAGAAAATGTTCAGGACCCTTGCTCAAGTTCAAGGCTCACAGTCCTTTGGACCAGGTAGAAGACGTTTCAGATTGAATTCCTAGGAAGCTGCTGTATATCGGGAGTACAATGCTAGAAGACAAAACCTAAATAATTGTAATAGCTGATCTTGGCCCTGAAGAATCAATTATTATTTTTCCTTTTTTAAAAATTGATTTATTTTTAGTTTTCAACATTCACCTCCACAAGAATCAATGATTAAATATATATTAAGCTCCTAGTATGTGCCAGGGGTAGCTAGATGGCTCAGTGCATAAAGTGCGGGTCCTGGAGTCAGGACTACCGAGTTTAAATCCAGCCTCAGACATTTACTAGCTGTATGACCCGGGGCAAGTCACTTAACCCCATTTGCATGTTTCCTCATCTGTAAAATGAACAGGAGAAGAAAATGGCAAACCATGCTAGATCTTTGCCAAGAAGACCCTATGGACAATACTGGTGTGCTATGGTTCATGGGGTCATGAAGAGTCGGACCCAATTGAACAACCACAAATGTGCCAGACTCTGTGCAAAGCCCTGGGGACACAAAAAGAGGCAAAACACATTTCCTGCCCTCAAGGAGCTCACAATTTAATGGGAAAAAGCATCTCCCTATTTTCAGTAGGGGTGGGGCACTATGGGTATAAAATACTACATACATGGTGAGAAATGGGTCCAGTGTTGGTTGGTTTTAAGAATTTATTTAGTCATAAGAGAAGGCTCATTTGAGGAGGGAGTGACCATGTATGAATGTGACATAAAAATAAAAAGGCTTCAAAAAAAATTATTTTAAAAAGTTCAATAAGCTTGGCCCTGAAGAGACGGCAAATCCACACCTCTCTTCCTTGAAGGGAATGGGGAAGGAATACGGGTGTGGATTGCTGCCTTGGAGGTCAGCCTCTGCTGGCATGTTAGTTATAATGGAGGGCTCAAAAACTGGGTGCATGCGTGTGTGTGTGTGTGTGTGTGTGTGTGTGTGTGTGTGTGTGTGTGTGTGACCTCCCTTTCCTTCAGTGCAATGGGAGCTGTACCCCTAATGCAATGCTGCTCTTATGCTTTCTCCAACGCTAAAGAAATCTGAGCCTTCTGTCAGCAGCAGTGTTCTCTTTCTCTCTAAGGGTGCTTTACAGAAACAAACATACCAGCAACCCGGAATCTGCTCCATGGAAAGGCCTGATGGCGCCAAAGACCCGAGCAAGCCCAAATCCATCATTGGTGTTCCCTACCATCAAGACAGTCAGCGCTGTATTACACGGAAACATGCTGGAGAGCCACTGAGCTCCCCTACTGGTATCAGAAGACGTGTGGTAACACAGCCAATTTCATGACATGTAATCTTTTATTATACGTATACACACGTGTTACATATAGTACAGCGGCAGCTATACAGCATGCACATACATGCACTACATATAGCACAGTGGTGGCTATGTCATGTACATATACATGCATTATACATAGTTTGGCAGTGGCTAGGCACTGGACTTGGAGTAAGACCTGAATTCAAATTCTGCCTCACACGCTTCTTAATTCTCTGCCCATAGTCAAATCATTTCACAAGGGCCTTAGTTTTCTCATCTATGAAACGGAGCTAACATTAGCACCTGCCTCACAGGGTGGACGCGAGAATCAAATGGAATAATGTATGCAGAGCTTTCTTACTGTATTTGTTTTTGGCCTGTATCTAATTTCAGTGGTGGAGAGAACTCCCAGTGAGAAAATTCCCTCTCCCAACAAAGATCACCACCTTCTCCGCCTGGGGCACTCAGGGGCTAAGTATCTTGTCCAGGGTCACACTGCCAGGGAGTGTCGGAGGTGAGATTTGAACCCAGGTCGTCCTGACATCCATGGCCAGCTGCCTCTCTGGATTAGGTACTAGGAGTGAAATACCCAGCCCCTTTCACCTCCAGCTATTCCCGGTCTGCAGACTGTTACTTTGTCTTTTCTTTTTTTTTTTTAAAGGCAATTGGGGTTAAGTGACTTGCCTAGGGTCACACAGCTAGTAAGTGTCAAGTATTTGGTCTGAGGCCGGATTTGAACCCAGGTCCTCCTGACTTCAGGGCCGGTGCTCTATCCACTGTGCCACCTAGCTGCCCCCTGAAAACCTGTTACTTTGAAAAAGAAAAGCCTCCCCTCCCCAACCTTCCCAACTGAGCATGTTCTACATGCCATCCCCCATCAGGCTTTTCTGTGATGGCCACAGGGGGAGGGCATTGATGGAGACTGAGAAATAGCCCCCTCTTCTAGAATTCTTTCTGAACAAGGCAGGAGCCCACAGTTACAGTTTGCATGGTAATGTTCTGGTCTCTGTAGCCCAAAGATTCTAAAAAGGACCAGAGCCTCTGTTGCTCAGGATGTTATTCCCATGATGGCTTTTCCCAATGGGGTCTGAGCTTCTTGGCCCATCTGCCCAGCTCCCTGCCCCCCATCATCGAGAGGCCCTAAGACAGGGGGTGGAGGGCTGGACAGGGAGAGCAGCCAGAGTCCGAGTTCCTGCTGACGTCCTCGAGGAAGATCCAGACTTGCAGCAACTGCTGGCCAGGACGTGAGGCGGGGAAGTGGGGCTCACTTGGCCCGCTTAAGGCTCACGGGCTCTTCGGTCAGAGAATTCTTCCTGGCTGAGATACCGCGGAGTGCGGTGAGGCTCTGGACCTGCTGCAGACGCAGGGTGAGCTGCTGCTGACAGGCTCTCTGGACCGCTTCAGCCGTCTCAGGGTCCCAGCTTAACGCTCGGGCCAGAGCCTCCGGGTGCTCCTTGGTCACCAACTACAGCAAGAAGGGGTGCAGTCAGTGTTTTCGCCCCTTCCCCCTCACTGCCTTCCCACTGGCTCAGCTGTTCCAAATGTCTGCCCTAAAGATCCCTGACTTGGGAAAGGAAGGGAATAGAACACCTACTATGTGTCGGGAGCTTTGCTGATTTACATTACTGATGGGCTTTCAAACGCTTCACGGACATTATCTCTTCAAATGAGCCTCACTGACAACCCTGGGAGGTGGTGGTGGTTTTGGGGATGGGGAGCACAAACCCTACTGTGGAAAAGAGTCAGAAGACCTGTTTTCAAATCCTGGCTTTGGGCAAATCACTGGACTCAGTTTTCTCCTCTGGAAAATGGACACGATGGCCTCCAACATCCCTCATGGGTCTAAAGCTATGATCTTACACTCTTAAGAAAGTGACTTGTCCACATAGTCAGGGCTTAATACATGTTTGATGACTGACCAATTGTTTTGCAATGGAGGTAACCGAGTTTTTAGCCACAGTCACATATAGCTGGTGTGCATCAGAGGCATGTCTGAAGCCAGGCATCTCTGACTCCATAGTTAGCCCTTCAGGTGATCTGGGGGCATTACTATGCACTTCTTTACAGATGAGGAAACTGAGGCTGGGAGAAGGACTTGCCCAGGGTCACAGAGCCTGTAAGGGTCAGGAACGAGGCTCAAACTAAGGCCATCCAGACACCAAATGGGGCAGCTGATTCCCCAGGCTCTGGCTGCCCCTTCCTTAGCTATACAGAAGGATGCTCGCCTGCCCAGGGCTCACTTCTTACCATGCCCAGCAGAAAAAGACTGAGCTCTGTCACAGGGGAAACACCCACCCTGCGGCCTTTCCTTTCCATTCATCTATAATAGAGACACACAGCAGAGGAGGAACACTGCCCCAGGGTACATCTGGGGATGGGGACCAAAGAAGAATACCTCCTCGATTTAGGGACAGCTAGGGGGCACCACAGTGCAGGAAAACTCATCTTCCTGAGTTCAAATTCAGCCTCAGACAATACCAGCTGTGTGACCTTGGCCAAGTCACTTCACCTTGCTTGCCTCCGTTTCCTTATCTATAAAATGAGCTGGAGAAGGAAATGGCAGTGGGGAGAGGAGAGGGTGTCTCTCATCTCTGGGCCTTTGCACTAGGCTGGCCCCTGGTCTGGAATGCCCTCCCACCTCACTTCCACGTTAGAATCCTTCCGTTCCTTCAAAACTCTGCCTAAGTGCCACTTCGTACACGAAGCCCGACCTGATTTCCCACGGGCTGGTGTCCTCATTTCTCTTCACTCATCACACTTTTATTACGTGCCAACTTTGTGGCAGGAACTGAGCCATCTCATGTTTATACCTAAAGGGCAATAAGCTCCATGTTATCTCATCCATCCAATCTTTACAACAGCAACTCTCTAGACATTCTGATCCTCATTTTACGGATAAGGAAAACTAAGGTTTAGAGAGGTGACTTGCTCTAGGCCACAGAGCTAGTGTTTGAGATGGGATTCGAACCCAGGTCTTCCAGACTCCAAGCTCAGCCCTGTATTCACTATGGCTCTCCATAGAGAGAATCATCCTGGCAGCACCTGCCCCTGGGTTGTCCTAGGGCTCAAATGAGACAACAGAGAAAACATTTTGCAAAAATACAAGGCTTTATATAAAAGAAAGTTCTTACTATATCTCCTGCCATGCCTTAAAAAAATGAGCCCAGCCATTCCTAAGGACAACGCCCCACATTCTGCAGGGGCAAAGCCCAGAGCCCCCCAGGGCCCAGCAGGATGCCTTGAACAGATGCCTACCTCTAAATCCTGGCTGGACAAGCTCAGCTCTGGGGAGGACTTTTCCTTCAGCACCATTAGGACATGACCGGAGAGTGTGACGTAGCCAGCAACCCCTGTGTCCATTTCGTCCATCCCTTTATCCAAAGCAGTCTCAGGCTCTGCAAGGCAGCCACAAGACAGTGATTGGCAGCTGGCTCTAGTGAAGGCCCAGACCACGAAGGCCTATTGGTGTGCCTGGGCCAGGCAGGAGGTCCTCACCTCCTGCATTTGGGTGGTGGTGGTGACCACATGTGGGCCGTCCATTTGTTTCTTTCTGAGGGAAGGCCTCAGTCCACAGATGGATTCTTTTGGGGGCATGTGGGGAAAGGGAAACCCCAATTCTCTCCTTACCCGCCTGCTTTGACAGGATGCCACCCTCCTTCTCCAGGGCCTGGAGATAGAGCTGCAGCAGCTGCCGGGACTGACGGGCTTCTTCTCTGTGGTCTAGCACCTGCTGGAGTGTGTTCTGGAGGTCTCGGGTTCTCGAAGGGCTCTGGGAGAGCTCCTGGGCCAAGTCTGAGCTGGGAACATCAATAAGCACCTGGCACATGAGAACAGGAGGCAGAAATGAGGAGGCAGATAAGGCCACAGGAGGGTCTTATCAAATCAACTAAACTTCCCCGGCTTCAGTGAGTCATCTGAACCCTTTCCAGGAGCCAGCAAACTACCATGGGAAGCATGCTGGCTAGGTAAGAGATGGAGCAGAAGCTGTAGAACAAGCCAGAGATACAATGGAACGAATTTCTCTGAGTCTGATTGGGGGGAAAAAAGTTAATTATGCCAGTAAGATGCTAGGAAAGAGATGGAATGAGATGTGGAATAAGCCAGCTAATGTTTTCAGTCGTCTGACTCTCCATGACCCCATTTGGGGCTTTTTTGGCAAAGATCCTGGAGTGATTTGCCATTTCCTTCTCTGGCTCATTTTACAGATGAGGAAACTGAGGCAAACAGGGTGAAGTGACTTGCCCAGGGTCACACAGCTAGTAAGTGGCTGAGGTCAGATTTGAGCTCAGGGAGATGAGACTTTTTGATTCCAAGCCCAGGTTCATCCACTGTGCCACTTGGCTGCCCTCAAGCCAGCTATACAATGGATTTAATTTTTCTGTGCCAATTTTCCCTTAAAAAACAAAAAGGGTTGGCTACTAATGGTCAGTGGGAGGCAGTGTGGGAGAGTGGACAGGAGGCCAGCCCTGGAGGTGGGCAGGCCTGGGTCCAAAGTTTGCCTCTGACACAAACTAGGTGTGTGAGTGTGGACAAGTCAGGGCATCTCTGGAGCCCCAGGTGCCTCTCTGCTCCTTACATGTAATGAGCTGTTGATCTCAGCTGGCTGTCTTCATCACCTGAGGTAGTTTCCACACGGGGAGTTTCTTCCTCATACTCATACAAAAGATCATGGGTTTGGGACAAGAAAAGAAAAAAAACCACCCTAGCAGAGGGGACAGAAGCTTGTCCTTCAAGTCAGGAAGACCTGAGTTCTTGCTTCTGACACGTACTAGTCTGTGTCGGGAGAAGGAGTTGCCACACTGGGAGGTCCCCAAACTGACTTTGAGTCTAGACAAAAAAAAAATCCCAGAACAATAATAATGCAATTGTCCTCCATTAAAGCAGAAGACCAACCTGTATACACACAAATCCTGGATACACAGATACACAAACATAAACCAGAACAAGTCTTTGTGCTGAATCATCTTTGGGAGACTAAGAAACCTGTGAACAGATGTGGCAGCATTATTTGTCCAGAACAGTGACTTCATTGCTGGCGATGCTCTCTGCCGGGGCAGGGAGGGCCCAGGCTGCCACTCAAGAGTCTCAGAGGCACCACGGCCAGTTCTGTCAGTGCTACCCCCATCCCCCTCCCCACCACTTAAAATGACCCAGGCGGGAAGGAGTTACATCCCATTTTCAGAGATAAATCTAGTGCATTCAGCAGGGGAAATGTCGTTCTACCTAGGTTCTAAGTCTGCTGAAAGGGTAACTAGCTGAGGAGGAGAGTTTCAAAGTCCTACAGCTAAAAGCAAGCACAGAGGTATTCATTCATGGGACAAGCACCTACTGAGAGTCTAATAAGGTGCTAGGAAAAGCAAAGGGGCAGTGTGGATGGGAAGGGAAAGACTGGTGGGAGGCCTCTGGAAAAGGGAGGGGTCTGAAAGGCAGCACTTCTAAAGCATTGACCCAACCCAGCCCCTATAAAAAAAATGAACAACAGAGAAACAGCTGTGTTGGAGGCAGGAGCGTCTGATGTGACGGTGGGAGGCTCCTTACCTGAAGATCTTCTTCTGACAGGAGGATGATGCTGGACAGATCTCCTTTGAGCTGTCTGGCCAGGTTCTTCCACCTGCATCCCTCACTGCTGCTGTCTATTTCATCTTTTCCATCGAAGGATTCCTGAGAGACCCATGCTGTGCCCCCATCTAACCCACAAGAGGAGAAAAGGCCAGGCACTTGTCAGAACCACCCCAGGGGGCCTCAAACATGTGGTTGAGGGTGTGATAATCCCTCAGCTTGAGGCTGGAAGCTACAAAAGGGCAGACCTAGGCTTGACCTCAGGAAAACCTTCCTAGGGTGGGAGCTGTCCAAAAGCACATGGCTTCTGGAGAAGGGGCTGAGGGGGCTGGCTCTGCCTCACTGGGGAGCCCCATGTAGAGGCTGGAGGAGCGCTCAGTGGGGAAGTTGTATGGTATGAGTTGACAAGGGGGCCCCAGAAAGCCCCTCCAGCTCGGAACTTCTGGGATTCTTCCTTTTACGTCACAGGAATTCATGGGAAAACTAGCAAAGGGCTTAACTTCTCTTTTCTCCCTTGACTGAAACATGAAACAATTTTTAACTATTCTGACATACATTGAGGGTTAGGTTAGACTTTACCATTACCAAACGTTTCTAGTCACTAGATATTTGCTCCCCACCACTGCCCTACTAGAAACGCCTTCAGCCAGAAGGGACCTTAGGGACCAGCTATTCCACTTCCTTCATTTTACAGATGAGGAAACTGAGGCAGAAGGAACTAAAGTGACAGCATCCTAAATCTAGGGCTGGAAGGGGAAGAGGGGGGACCAGCTCAGTGCCCCTGATTTACTGCACATGTGATGCAGGCTCTGGAATCTATTCCTTAGTCATTATGAGAGGGCTGGAGAACATACAGAGGGTGGTGACCAGAAGGCAGCCACAGTGTTGCAGACGTAGACTTGGCTTTGGAATCTGCAGGGACAGGGTTCAAATCCTGCCTCTGACACTGACTAGCTGTGTAACCCTGGGAAAGCCCTCCCTGCATCCCCAGACCATTCTCTCTAAGCTACAGACAGGTGGCTCTCTGTTCTGGCCAATAGGAATTCTTACACCAACAAGTTCCTACCACCAAGCAGTGCTGACATAGAATAATAATGATAATGATAATGATGATAACTAATTCTTCAAGTTTGCAAAGTACTTTCCATCGAAGCTTCCTAACAACATTTCCTTCCTAAGGCTTGGTCAGCCCAGGACACCCAGGCCTCTGGGGCTGTGCAGGGGGAAGCCATGGCAGTGAAGGCTTCGCTCCAGGGGCTGTCTAAGGGGGCAGCCAGGACTCCTCACCTGTATCACTGTATTTCCACGTCTCATTGTGAGTGAGTGCTACGAACTTGGTGTTGTCAGGTAAACACAGGAAGTAATCTTCGTCATCCACAATGGTGCCATCCTCCGCCAGGACCAGAGTGATTGGCAGTAACGACTTGTCAATGGCCAGGATGTCACAAGCTGAGAGAGAAAGCAGGAGACAAGATGCCTTAAACACATACAGACCTACCAAAGAAATGAAGTTAATCCTACTCACTTCACTCCTAGATACCTACTCATGCTTTGGGGGCTCCCAAATGCCTCTGAGACAAACCAGCACTTTAAACCCTCAGTCTCCAGGCTGATCTCACATGACTACACTTTAAATTCTAATTTCCAGCCAAACTGGCCTATTTATTGTTGCCCAAACTCAGCATACATCCAATCTCCAACCTCCGCACATTTGCACAGGCCTTATTCTTGGAAAGCACAACTCTCTTCATGTCACCTTGGCTCCTTTCACGCACTCCCTCCCCAGGAAGCCTTTTCTTACCCCTTCCTTCTTCCTAGTGCAAATGATTGCACATACACTCATCCCCTAGGCAGACCTTAAGCTCTTGGACAATAATGACTGTTTCATTTTTGTCTTGGTATCCCCAGCACCTGGGATACAATTTTGGTTGTTCAGCTGTTTCAGTCTTCTTGATCCCATGTGGGGTTTTCTTGGCCAAGTCACTGGAGTGGTTTGCCATTTCCTTCTCCAGCTCATTTTACAGATGAGGAAATGGAGGCAAACAGGGTGAGGTGACCTGCTCAGGGTCATATGTCTTGTGTCTGAGGCTGGATTTGAACTCAGGTCTTCTTGACTCCAGGCTCAGTGAGTGGTCTATTCACTGTGCCACCCAGCTGCCCTGATATACAATAAGTGAGCTTAATAAATGCTTTTCTAAGTGCATTGGCTCTGCAGGTGGTAGTAACTGTCAACTAAAATGAAAAAGTTTTTTCTCTATAACATCCCGGTAAGGTGGTTAGTTTAAATACTGCTCTTCCAGGAGCAGCGAGGTGGGGCAATGGCTACAACACTGACCCTGAAGTCAGGAAGATCCGAGTTCAAATTTGACCTCAGACACTAGCTGTGTGACCCTGGGCAAAGCACTTTACCCTGACTGCCTCAAAAAAACCCAAACTACTACCATTCCCATTTCACAAATAAAGAAGCTGAAGATGGGACAGATTTGAGCACACTGCCCCGAAGCGGGAATTCCTTATATTGGAAGCACTGTTGCAAGGTAGCATTTCTGCTTGCAAAACCGTATAAAAAGTTTATGGTATGGGGGGTGGGGTGGTATTAGCAACTTTCACCTTTCTCACTGGGCAAGAGGCTGTCTCCAGGGAAACACCTATGATAAGAAATCCTGGATAAATAAAAATCATAGGAAACGCTCCCTCAAGTCTGTCCTTCCACATTCCAGGAAAGGCTCAGCAGAGGACAAGCTGGACGGGACACCGGGCTCTGGGTGCGGAGGCCTCTTCACACAAGCACCCAAGGCCTGCTGATGGAACTTAGGGAACCCTAATGCCAACCTGCAATTTAAACGTGACTAATGCGCGAAGCAAACTAGGGAGGCATACATGCATTTAGGAGCTCTGTCCTGCTTCCACAGGGTACCACGCTGACGTCCAAAAGGCCGGTAGGGGCCAGACAGAAGGTGGCCAGCAGGGTGATCTGTTAATGGTATGAGCTAAAAGAGGACTTGTCACAGGTGTGGAGGACTCAGAACTGGAAGGGGGCCCCTGAGATCATCTATTCCAAATTGACACTTAGGCAGTCACGGGGCACTGCGGTCAGGGCCAGGACTGGGTCCAGCCAGCCAGGTTCCAGGACTGCAAACCCGGCGCTGTTTCGGTTCCTAATCCCCCAGGACGCGACGTCTAGAGGAAGCTTAGGTGTCTAAGTCCTTCGGGGACAAAGCCAGGGACAGCCGCAGAGGCATCCTCCCGGGCTAAGCCCCAAAAGTGATACCATGTCCTTCTCACAGCCCTGCCCCACCCCACTCACCCCCACCCCTCCAACCCCAGGGCCCAAAGGCAGCCCTAAAGTTCTTAGCCTGATGCAGTGGAAGGAGGGCTAGACCCCAAGTGGGCAGGGGCCAGGGTGCCAGCCCTGCCCCTGTGCGAGCCACCTCTCCGAGACTCAGTTTCCCCTTCTGTGAAATGGGTCCAACCGAGGCCAGACCTCTCAAAGTCCCCATGCCCCCGCTGCCCCGACCCTCCTCCTCCAGGCCCCCCGGCGTGGGCACACCCCGCCTATCCCCGCTCGCACCCTTGCTCTTCAGCTCCTCCAGGCTGGAGGCCGCCGCGCCGTGATGCTTCCGGCTCCGGTTGCGCCGCACAAGGCAGGGCTTCAAGGCGCCCGTGGGCTCCTCCGAAAACTCCATCGCCGGCCGCAGGAAGCCACGGTCTGAGTCAGGGCTGGGTAGCAGCCGGTGTACGGGAAGCCAGGAGCTCGCCCTTGGGCACCACCCACGTGCGTAGGCTCGCGCCTGAGGCTTGCCGGGACTGGTAGTTTCAGGCTGCCTCGGGCCACGCACGTTTGCCCCGACGCATCTTGGGTCTTGTAGTCGCCCCGCCCAAGGGAGATTGCGGATTCCTTCCGAGTCATCTTAAAGGGATAGGAGCGCGGGTTCTGCAGGACTCTGGACCTTGCTCGCGGCGCTCTGAATTACTCAGTTTATTTATTATACGCTTTGAATTTATATAGTCTTCCTGTTTGCATACATGTCTTACAAAACATAGCTGTTTACAATTTGCACAGTACTGGATGCCTGTACACTTTTCAAGGTGACCCACAGAGTTAACTCCAGAAGTTTGTTTATATTTCTCCCTCACTGCATAAAAACGTCCACAGGTGGGTGCTTCTAGGTAAGGTGGGAAGAATCCTGGCTCTGGAGGGAGCCTGGACTTGGGTTCAAATTCCAACTCTGTTGATTTGGTCTCCCTGAGTGTCACTTTCCTTGTCTATAACTCATTTCAATTCAATCAACATTTATTAAGCATTGACTGTGTGCCAGGCACTGTGCTAAGCTCTGAGGATACAAAAAGAGGCAGAACACATAAAATGAGGCGGTGGGACTAGATGGTCTGTAGACCCCTCCTAAGCCAAGATCTGTGCTCCTGTGTGAGACAGAAGAGGTGACATGCCATAGCGCTCCTCCCTCATTCTTGTGAATGGTTCAGAGGAAATATGGATGGCCTTCTAGGCAAATTTGGGGGGCAAAGCTGGGAATAGCTAAAGGCCTGGAGTGACAGAATTAGGTTGTAAAAGATCTACCTAGTGTGAAATGACGAAATCCTGCGTTCAGGTTCAAAAAGTCAATGCCACAAACATAGGATGAGAAATGAGGTGAAACAAAGGTTTTGATCGATGTTGGGTTCATCACTAACTTACCCAAAAAGCCAATGAAGCATAGTGTTTAGATCAATCACTCAATTAATAAACATTTATTAAATGCCTGCTATATACCAGGCACTGTGCTAAGTGCTGGGGATACAAAAAGAGGCAAAACACTGTCCCTACCCTCAAGGAGTTTACAATCTAGCAGGGGAGACAGGCATTGGGAAAGGCTTCCTGTAGAAGATGGGATGTTAGCTGGGACATGAAGGAAACCAGAGAGGTCAGTAGTTGGAGGCGAGAGGGGAGAGTATTCCGGGTATGGGGGACAGCCAGAGAGAATGCCTGGCACTCAGCCAGGAGGCCAGTGTCCCTGGGTGGATGAGTACTCACTGGGGAGACTGGAAAGGTAGGAGGGGGCTAGGTCATAAAGGGCTTTGAATGCCAAACGCAGCATTTTGTATTTGCTCCTGGAAGCAATAGGAAGCCACTGGAGTTTATTGAATAGGGGGAGACATAATCAGATCTGTTTTTAGGAAAATCACTTTAGTGGCCGAAAGGAGAATGGATTGGATTGGGGAGAGAGCCGGGAGGCAGGCTGACCCACCAGGAGCAGTCCCAGTAGGTCAGGAGTGAGGTTATGAGGGCCTGCACCAAGGTGGGGACAATGTGAGAGGAGGGAAGGGGGTGTGTATCAGAGAGGTGTAACAAAGGGAAAATCACCAGGCCACGGCAACAGCTTGGATAAGCGACTCCCAGGTGGGGAGCCCAAGGGACTGGGAAGATGATGATACCCTCTATGGTAACGGGGGGGGGGAGGGCTTAGGGAGGATAATGGGTTCAGTTTTGGGTGTGTTGAGTTTAAGATGTATACTCACCATCCAGTTAGAGATGTCTGAAAGGCAGCTGGAGATGCGTGAGATTGGGAGGCAAGAGAGATTGGGGCAGGGAAGATGCTGGTCTCCCTGAGCCTTCCTTCGCTTGCCAATTGAGAGTTATCATTATAGAGAAGGTAACTAAATGCATGGGAGCTGATGAGATCACTAAATGAAGTAGGTGAGAGGTAGAAGAGGCAGCTGGATGGCTCAATGGATGGAGCGCTGGGCCTGGAGTCAGGAGGTCTCAGACACTCACTGGCTATGTGATGCTGGGGAAATCACTTCACCTCTGTTTGCCTTAATCCACTGGAGAAGGAAATGGCAAACCCCTCTAGGATCTTTGCCAAGAAAACCCATGGGCAGTCCATGGGGTCATGGGGGGTCACGAAGAATCAGACAGGACTGCACAATAACAGAGGGAGATGAGAGAAGAGCCCAGGGCAGAACCCTCAGGACCACCTGCAGTTAGATCAAAGGAAGTACCAGTTCCACAGCATTCTCCCTTGGTCACAGCTTACCTGGAGTGTGTGTCTGCTTCTGGCTGCCACCTTTTCTTTCTCCCCACAAGTTTTAAAAATGCATCGCTATATTTCGACACAACAGCCACTTGTCAATGGACATCCAAACAAACCCTCTTCCACTTCCTGGAAAAGTTGACCGTTTGCTCATATGAAGGAGGGATGGTCCTTTCACTGACCTGACTCCATAAATAAATGTTATTAAGGGCCGACTGCGTGCCAGGCACCAGCACCTGCCGCCTTGGGCAGGCGCCTGCAGGCTGACTTTCTCAGCGACTTTGTGGTCCTTCCTCCCTGCTCTCTTGGGGCGCTTCTTGCTCCGCTGGCTTCCTGTCTCCCCAGCTTTCTGGGAATCCTCAGGCTTTCATCTTTCCTTAAGGTAGTATCAAGGGGTGGGAGGGGGATGGGCAAGCAGCAAAGGGAACCTGAAACAACGCTGCCTGGGGAGGATCTCTGGAGACCCTGCCAGCTCCCCTCTGTGACTGTCATTGCAGAAAAAACACCTGGCCTGGATATGTTCCTAGCTTCGAATATCTGAAGGCCTTTCCTGTAAAAGGGGGATGCAGAGGCCACAGCCCAGACCGATGATGGCGTGGCCAAAGCGATGGTTTTGGGGTCAGAAGTGGATGGAATCCCTGCTCTGCTCCTGCCCGTGTGACGCTGGGCATCTCACTTAACGTCTCTGGGACTCAGTTTCCTCATCTATAAAATGGTAAGATCACCCCTGTGGCTCTCAGTTGTTATCGTGCAGTCATTTTTCAGTTGTATCTGACTCTTCTGTGACCCCATTTGGGGTTTTCCTGGTAGAGATCGATCCTGGAGTGGTTTGCCTTTTCCTTCTCCAGTTCTTTTTACAGCTGAGGAAACTGAGGCAAACAAGGTGAAGTGACTTGCCCAGGGTCACACAGCTTGTGTCTTGAGTTCAGATGTGAACTCAGGAATCTGTCTTCCTGACTTCAGGCAAGGCGCTCTATGGCGCCACCTAGTGGTATGCTTTCCTATACAGCCACAGGGAGGCAGATTTTAGCGGTTTTTTTTCTTTTCTTTTTTTGCTGAGCAATCGGGGTTAAGTGACTTACTCAGAGTCATACAGCTAGTAAGTGTTAAGTGTCTGAGTCTGGATTTGAATTCAGGTCCTCTCAACTCCAGGGCTGGTGCTCTATCCACTGCACTACCTAGCTGCCCCTAGATTTTAGCTCAATTCTAAGGAAGAACTTTCTAACCATTACAGGTACCCTTAAATAGAAGAATGGTCTTTCCAGAGTGACATTGAGTTTCTCACCACTGGAGGTATTTAAACAAAGGACTCAAAGTATTTAAAACCCTGAGGGAAATTAGAAAAAGGCCTGGGGGGAATGAGAATGGAATGAAAGAAGAAATGTTAATGAAAAGGGGATATCTTCTACTCATAGGCAACTGCTCTCTGAAGACAGATGGCACATCACGGTGTGGCCTCGACCTTGAAGACTTGTAGGCTCTCCCAGTGGAACACAAGCACTGAAAGGCTCTGCCATGCGGGCCGTGGAGGGAGAGTCTCATGACAGGAGGTAGGCTCGCCTGCCATCAGGGAGGCCATCACCAGCAGGGTCTCTGGGGGGGTGGGATCTAAGATACAGATAGGATAAACTGGAAATAATCAACAGAGGGAAGTTACTAGAATTAAGAAGGGTGAGGAAAGTCAGGTAGAAGATAAGATTTTAGCTGGCACTTGAAGGAATTCAGGGAAGTCCTAGGACAAGAGGAGGGAGGGAATTCCAGGTTAAGCGAGGCTTTAATTGCTGGGAACTCAAGTACAATGAATTTCCATTCTAATAGAGAGACCCTAGAATCCTGGGAAGCAGAGGCCATCTTTTTGTCTTAGGAAGTCACAGAAATGATGAGTTACAAAATGCCTTGAAAGAGGTTATACTGTATAAGTCACTGATAATATCTTAGCATAGGCCAGGATGTGGTGCAGTGAATGGGTTCCCATCAAGGCTCTGTTACTTTGCCACTGGACCCAGATGGCTCCAGAAGAGAAAGTGAGGCTGGTGACTTGGCACAGCCCTCCCTCACTTCAATCCAATTCACTTGCATGTCACAGCATCAGATCCCTGATGTCATGGTCCTCTTCCAGAACGAAGGACAAACAGCAGCTCTTGGGAAACCACCTTCTGTCTTTGTGCTTGAGTTTCTGGCATAAATCATGGGTTTAAGGGCTGGAAGGGACTTGATGCCCCATCTGTGACCTGAAACGTGGATTATTAACATCATTAGATGATAGGTCTCTTCCAGCTCTAAATTCCAAGAGTTGAAGGCACATAGGACTTAAGAGTTCAAATCCTGACTGGAAATCCTAACTAGCTGGGTAACCCTGTGCCAGTCACTTCATTTCTGCCTGCCTCAGTTTCCTCATCTGTAAAATGGGGATAATAATATTCCCCGTCCCCCAAGGTTGTTGTGAAGATCAAGTGAGATTGTAATTGTAAAGCGCTTAGCACATTGCCTGGCACAGAGTAAGAGGTATATAAATGTCAGCTATTATTATTATTATTGTTGTTGTTGTTGGCTGCGTGGCCCTGAGCAAGTTCTCTGTAAAATAGGGATGAAAATGGAGATCAAATGAGTTCACATTTGTAAAGCGCTCAGGACAGGGGCTGGCACACTAAGTGGCTGGCTCGTTAAGCTTCTTATTCTCGAAGTGGGGGCGAGCAAGAACTTTCCTATGGCCCCGCCCCACCACTCCACTGCCACGCCCACTCTTCCCTATCGATCACTCTGCTCTTGCTTCTTCTTGCCTGTGTCCGCCAGTGAGGGCGTTCAGTTCAGGAGGAGCCTCGCGGGGCGGCGATCGATTAGTCAGGCCTCAGAAAGATGGCGTCCTCTGAGCAGGCAGAGCCGACGAGCCAGGTAAGGGGGAGCCGGGGCTGCTGGGGCCCCGTAGCTGGCACCGGGGTCGGTGGGGCCGTTGGGGCCGGGGGCCGGGGGCCCAGGGGCGGCGGCCTGGGCTGCTGGCGTTTGGGACCGGAAGGAGGGATGGGGGCCCCCCTCATTGCCCCTCCCCCAATGACCCCTCGTCCAACCCCCCAACGCCCGCGGCCGCGCGTGCCCGCGGCCCCGCCCCCTGCTTCCCCGCACACGCCCTCTGTCTTCTCCCCTCCTCACGCGTTCCCGCGATGTGACGGGGGCCGAGAAGGGTCAGTCCGCAGCCGTGGGTGGCCATACGCCCCTGGAGTCGGTCCGGAGCTCGGGCGAGCGCTGGCTCGTGGGCGGCCGGGCCGGGGTCGGGAGAAGGACTTCCCGGGAGCCCTCCCCTTTCTCTCCTCGGTTTCCCTCTCTGTAAAGGGACAGGTTCGGGCTCCACGAGCTCCAAGCCTTCTTTCAGCTCCAGACCCTGGGGCCTCTTTGCGCCTCAGTTTCTCCTTCTGCGAAATGGGGAGCTTGGGCTACATGAAGCTCCAAATGCTTCGACTTCCCAGGGCCTCAGTCAAGTCCACAAGCGTTCATCAGGCATGTGCTATGTTGTGCAGGGGTGCCTTTGGGGATGCCAAGAAAGGCCAAAAGTGCCCCTGCCCTCGAGGGGCACGCTTGCTGGAGACAGCAGGCGCTCCACTCTGCAGTCACCCAGTCATCGCGCCTGCTGTATGCCCGGCGCCAAGCTAAGCCCCAGGCATACAGAAGCAGGAGATGGTCCCTGCCTGCCCTTCAGGACCTCAGTCTGATGGAAGAGACAAAGTGCAGGCAACTATGTGTGAACGAGATGCGTGCAGGATAAATCAGAGACGATCCATAGGGTGATGTTACCGCAGTAAAGAAGTCAGCAAAGAAGGTGGGATGAGGACAGGGGGCTTTCCAGGTGTGGGGGGACGCCAGAGAGAGTCTGGAGATGGAGGTCAGGTTTGAGGAGCAGCCAGGTGTCACTGAGGCAGAGGGGCATGGACTCCCAGCCCTCTTCCCTCCTGTGGCCTTTGTGAGCTTGGGTTAAATGACCTCTAAGCGTCTTCAGGCTCTGACTCTTGTGATCCCCATCCTCTTTGGGCCTCAGGTTCATTGGATCGTAGATCTGTGCTCCAGATCTATAACCTGTAGAAGGTGTAGGAAGGTCAGGTGATCTGCGCTGGGGCTCCTGTGCTGGTCTGAAGGTACCATGTTGCCTCAAGTGATCTTTTATTCCCCCTGCCCTCGCCTCCCCCCAAATCCCAGGACCTTATGGCCTTCCTGGGTTTCAGTTTCCCCATCTGTAAAGTGAGGAGGTTGGATCAGATGACAGTTAAGGCCCCCCCCAGCTCTAAATGCTGTGGTCCCCTGTCATCTCTGGCCTCAACAAGGGTTAAAGTAAATGTTTTTAATGGGCTCTTTGAGCTCTGACGACCCATGAGTTTGTGACCCCTCTTGCTGCCCCCTTGGGGCTGGAAGCTCATCCTGAGCAGAGCTCTGGTAAGGGATGCACCAGGACCTCAGACTGAAGAGCCCCAGTGTGTTTTGTCCTGCCGGACATCTGGAATCATGACATCCTAGACTAGAGCTGGGAGGGACCTCAGAGTTCCTTCAGTCCTAGCCCCTCATTTTATAGACCCAGGGAGGGGAAGAACAACCTTGCCCAGAGTTACCCAAATGGCCTTGAACTGGGTCCTCGAGTGTTAGATCAGCTCTCCTGTTGTTCCAGTCTGATTCCTGCTGGTAAGGATTCCTCAGGACTGTCCAACATGAGCCCCTCATCTTACTGATGGGAGACACCAAAGATCATAGGATCATAGGGCTGAGATAGAGGAACCGTAGAGACCATGTAGCGCAGCGCCCTTGTTTTATGGACGAAGACACTGAGGGCAGGAGAGGGTGAGAGAATCGTCTTAGACCCTCGAGGACTTTCTTCCCCATCTGCTAAGACGGGGGTGAGCAGATGACATCCTGGGGATGGCCTCAGTGAGCTCAGAATGGTTTTTACATTTTAAAATACAATAAAGTTCTATTTAAACACGCAAAAGCCATTCTTCGTGGGCTGCTGTTTTGTCACCCAATTCCAAGACACTGTTTCCTCCTCTTAAAGTACCCAGTGGAGTTTATGAATCTGTTAGAAGTCCGTGTTAGAGTAGGCCAGTCAACTGGAAAGGTCACTCTTGCTGCTGTTTGTTCAGGAAGGAAGGCGATGGACAGTTGGACCGTGTGGGGAACTTCTGTTTCCTTCGGGCAGTTCCCAGCCTGCTTTTGCCAGAAGCACTGGAGCTTGAGGAGGGGTCTGAAGGGAGGGAGCTCTGACACCCTGCCCTTGGAGTTCTTGGAAGGGCTGAGATTCCTGGAGTCCAGCCCCTCCCAACATCTATGTCCTTGGAATGCCACAGGCTGGGCCTTCAGGCCTGGATACTTTAGGCAGCAGTGCAGTTGATACCAGGTACCCTGGGAGAAACTCTGAAAGCCTTGTCGCTGGAAGCCCTTGCAATTCTGATTGGACCCTGACATTTTGCCTCCCCTCCCTTTACCGTAGGAGACACACTTGGCCTTGATTACTTTTGTGAAGAGCTCAGTGCCTGCTTCTCCTTTGCTCTTCTTTCCATTGGTGGTGCAGGTGGGATTGCATCGTAACAGGGGTTGGGGTGGGGGCAGGGAGGGATGGGAGGAAAGGTCTGCTGCCATCAACAGGCCCCCCATGTCAGAGGTGCACAGAGCAAGTAAGTGCTCTCTGTAGCCTCTGTCCTCAGGCCGCTCCCCCAAGTCCTTTTAACTTGGGGTCCTTCCAATCCTCAGTTATCCCCATGCTGTTGAAAAGTGATGAGCTCTCCCTTTTGAAAATCTTTGTCCTTGTCTGGAGCTGGGGTAGGTGCCTGTTTTTGAGGATGATTTGACTTAGTCTCCCCAGCCAAAATACTGCAGGGTTGTTTGGACCTATGCTGACCTTTGATCTGCATTTGGACTCGAGACATTGCACAGTTGGCAGCCAGGCAGCCTGGTAGATAGAGCAGGCCTGGGCCTGGAGCATGAAAGGCATTCCTTTGAATTCTGCCTCATTCACTTGTTCAGTGAGAGACCCAGGAAAGACTGCTTTATCTCTCCTGATGCAGCTCAGCTAAGACCACAGTTTGTTCTGAGGATAAATGCTATATGTCAGTCACTCAATTAGTAAACATTTTTAAAGTACCTGCTGTGTGCCAGGTACTGCGCCAAGTGCCAAACACAAGGAAAAAGTAAAAGACAGTCTCTGTTCCCAAAGAGGGTAGTAGCTAGGTGGCACTGCAGTGGATAGAGCACTGACCCTGGAGTCAGGAAGACCTGAGTTCAAATCCAGCCTTAGATACTTGCTAGGTATATGACCCTGGCCAAGTCACTTCACCCTGTTGGCCTTGGGTTCCTCATCTGTAAAATGAACTAGAGGAGGAAATGGCAAACCACTCCAGTATCTCTGCCAAGAAAACCCCCAGTGGGGTCCCCAAGAGTCTGCCATGACTGAAATGACTGAAGAGTAGCAGTTCTCCAGGAGCTTGGCCGACGAGGTGGGGGGGGATAGCATGCAAACAATTGTGAACAGGCAGACTAGATGCAGGATAAATGGAAGATGACTGATGGGGAAGGCATTTGAATTAGGGGGATGGGCAAAGGCCTCATGTGGAAGGTAGGGGGTTTGCTGAGACTTGAAGGAAGCCAGGTTAGGGACTCTTTGTGCACGTCAAAGCGCCTGAAAGGTGTTTGCTGTTGTTATTCGCGATTGTCTCATTTCTGATGGGTACAGTTAAGGACATTTTGTGGGACAGCCTGAAAACTCGTCCCCAGGCTAAGACTCTCATCTCGAGCTTGGGCTCCATTTCTGGCGTCTCTCTTGCCTTTAATAACTAGCCAATTGTGGATCTTACACCCACGTGTGGATTGATATTTTCCTGAAGTCTCTGGTGTTTTCTGCTCATGACACTTCTTGTTCAGTCCTTTCAGTCTTTTCTGACTCTCTGTGATGCCATTTGGGATTTTCTTGGCAGAGATACTGGAGTGGTTTGCCATTTCCTTCTCCAGCTCATTTTACAGATGAGGAAACTGAGGCAAACAGGGTGAAGTAACTCACCTAGGGTCACACAGCTAGTAAGTGTCTGAGGCCAGATTTGAACTCAAGTCTTCCTGATTGGAGGCCCAGCATTCTATCCATTGTGCCACGTAGCTCATTCCTCATAATATTGTTCTTCCTTTTATGTGTCCTAGAATAGCTTCCTTAAGGGAAGCTTCTAGGTATGCACCTCTCTTTCTAGTGGGTAGTCTGTGCCAAAGTCCTTTTTCCCACGAATGTCATGGCTTGTAGGAAGGAGGAATGTGGTCTTTCCCCCCAAATGCAGGAGAATTTATTTCAAGGCCCAGTGTCAGGGCGGGTAGCCAGGTTGCCAGTGGTTGACTTTAGTGCCAGCTGCTGTGTTCAATCATGAAAGTAGCCAGACAAGCCAAGAAGTCAAGGTAAGGAGGGAGGGCATTCCAGGAGTGGGGGACAGCCAGTGCAAAGGTAGGGAGATGGGAGATTGTGTGCCCTTTGTGATGGATAGCAAGCTGGCCAGTGTAGCTGGATGGCAGAGTGAGTCTGCAAATCTGAGTGAGAACCTTTGTCCAGTCAGCATGGCTGAAACTCTGGCCTTGGGCCCAAGGTTGCATGGGGGCAGTTCAGTCTGTTTGTCCACTTCTGTCTCTGTGGACTCTCCCCACTGTTGGATATTCTGTTGGTGGCTTCTGAGCCCTGGTGGACCAGGAGGAGGAATTCATTGTCTGGGGCTCTAATCACTAAGCATTTATTTGGGGCTCGTTCTGTGCTAAGCTCCATGCTAGCTTCTGGGAATACAAAACCCCAAAGCACAGCTATCCCTCAAGGAGCTTATGTTCTCGTGAGCTTGGAGTGGGGGTTTCCTAGACATACTGGTAGGAAAATGGGAAGTAAAGGCCCCAGGGTG